CTGCTACTGGTACTGCTACTACTACTACTACTGCTACTGCTATTGCTACTGCTATTTCTACTGCTACTACTCCTACTACTGCTACTAGTGCTACTGCTGCTGCTACTGCTACTGCTATAACGACGCCGACGCCGACAACTACCATTGTTGTTCTTACGCGAGGCTAGGGCTTAGGGCTTAGGGCGTTCAGGGTTTAGAGATTTTGGGGTGCAAAGACTTTGCGCGTAGGGTTGGCGTGCAGAACCCTAAATCATAACCCTAAGCCTTAGGGCGTTTAGGGGTGCACAGGTTGGGGGGTTAAGTATTTAGGATGCAGGGATTAGGGCCTAGAGATTCCACGCGGCTTGGGCTTGGGGACGCGCTGCGTGGGAATTCATGGTCAGGGCTTCAGAGCTTAGGATGTAGGGTGAAGAGTTTTGCTGTTAAACTCCTTGCGTTGTCAGCCCACCTCTCCCACCCCAAGCTCGAGTTTGGTATTGGAGGGCCCGTTGACACAGCTACTGGTTTGGGCTTATCCGGCCGCACGAACGCAAAGGCACAACGGCCGAATGGGGCCCTGACGACTGTAGAAGAAAATGCCCTCAAACGTACATTCCAAGAATAAGCGTACCCATGAGACTTCAAGGGGCACTGTCTTGCAGGATGTGGATTTCGAAAAGCTGATCAACTTCTTGATGCGCCCGGCGTAATTGCCATGAAGAGGCCTGATTGCCGCCTATCTTCTTTGCATGGGGTTCTTGGGCTTTGGTTCATAGACACAAAGTCCTTGCTTTCTGGTGGTTGGTGGGCAATGAAGGACTGGGATATAGGGACGCTGCCCACCGCTTGTACGGGGACTACTGTCCCCAAACCCCAAACCGTGTAGTTGGTTAGGGCAGTGTTCAGCCAAGAGACTAGGATACTAGCCCGCAATACCCCGTAAGATCATAGTTCCCCTTTAAGTAGATTGAGTATGGCTTTGGGTATATTATAATAAGATCCCCATATACCCCATATTCTGTCTACTTAAGGGGGGACTATATACTCTTCTACAGTTTCTTGCGTATTTTTACACAGAGCACTAGCCCCTAAACCCTAAACCCTATGGCTTCCTGCAAAGTGAAGACGCCAAATTTCGAGAGATAACGAGGTTAATGCTCCTTGGGACTTGGCTTGGACCTTAGACCCTTAACCCTCTGGGATTCCCTTATATTCCTATTATAGGTACCTAAGGTTAACCCTTAGTAGGGGTCCTAAGTGTCATGTAGAATGTTTAGGGTTTAGGGTCCTTCTTCGAGGTCCTAGTTACCTAGTTGCTTGCGGTCCCTGGTGTTAGAGAGGGGGACGCTGTGGACACTTGTTTGTTGAATAATTTTGGGTGACCTTTTGTACACGAAGTTTCGCTAACATAAGACATGTCCAAGTGCGTAGTGCATAACTTCTATTTGCACGTTGTTGATGACTTCAGACACTTGTTAGTGGTGGACATAGCATCCCTTTCTATAATAAGTCGCTTGCTTAAAGTAGGGTCAACAATTTTGAGAACCTCCTCCCCAATTTATGAGCTTTATGAACTTCCATTTGAACCCATTGTCCATTTTCTTGTTTATTTGCTCGTCCATTTGATTCTCTGAAGTTTCAGGAGCGTAGGTCCTTAAGCCCTGACATCACCGAATCCCTGAGCCCTAAACCCCCCATAAACCCTAAACCCTAAACCCTAAACCCTTAACCCTAAACCCTAAACCCCCCTAAACCTTTGTCAGGCGCTTGGGCCGGACTGGAGCGGGTGAAGCAAGGTTTGAAAAGTACCCATACGCTGCTTCCTGGCATTGCCTGGTAATTCCAGGATGTAATCTAGAGGTTACCTGACTATAATAATATTAATATGAATAATATTATTAATACTACTATTAATAATTAATATCAATATTAATATTGATATTAGGGGACTGCAATGGGATTTTAGGGCTCCTGATTTGGGATTCTATAACGGTCATTTTGAGAAATGCCCATGCAGCGGCTGCCAGAAGAATGTTTGAAGGATGACACGGGGATGATGATCTTTATTTTTCTAGGCTTCTAAACTGATGCTAGCCATTTGGCATGGTCAACGGAGATAGATGGCATAGAACTTCATTGCACTGTTCAGTGTGCTCATGGCCACTTCATAACTGAGGGCCACAGCGTACATGAGGGGTTATCAAGGGGGATACAAGCAGTTCATATAGACTATAGCTGACATTCAGAATTGATACCTGTAAGGACTCTAAATTTTCGGGTACTCCCATTTTAGCCTTTTCAGAGAGCCGCCATCTCTTGACTTGCCGCAACATCAAAGACGTTGCAGCAGTGTCTTGGTGGAAGCTTCGTCCCAAGACGGGCTGGTTTCGGTCTAGGTCACTGGAAGCCTCGTGGGCATATATACCTACCTTCATTTAGTTCTGCAAAAGTTCTGCCTTTGTGTTTGTTGTCCTGCTGTGTGATACCCTTATGTAACACTGAACCTGCGGGTGTTCCCAATGTCCTAACCATGACCCAGTGCAAGAAATTGCTTTTCACCCCTTCTGAGAAGGGGATTCAGGTATGGTCTGCTGTTTATTTCCTGTTTGGAAAATGCAGACGCAAGAATGAATTATGCGGAGGATGCGCGAGAATTATGGAGGTCCAAAGGAGGAGTGGTGAGCATTTTGTGCATGCTCCACTTCCGCATCGTAGAGACGGCTCAGAGTGGTCGCCACCAAGCGCTCAAAAGATCTTGCGGGTTCAGCATAGGAACTTGGATGATCATAGGATGACATTCCCATCGAGGCTTAAAACTATTTGCATAAGATCAGTGTCAGTATAGCACTTCCCATATGCTTTCTACTGGTTTCTGCAGCAGCACTCCGAGGTAGATTTCGGGGTTTCCAAGAATGAGGGTCCCCCTTATGCAAACCTCTTAGTGGGGCCAACACTAATTCATAAGCATGTTTAATCACGGTCCAACAAAAGTAGTATGTTGCTCAGTACCTCAGCTGGGTTGCTGTTAAGTAACTTCAACAAAGATACCACTATGTAGATATATCGTACATGGCACGGGTTTCACGACATAATGGTATCTAAGCTTAAGCTCCGTATTTGCAACCCAGTACCTCCGCCAGAGTGGACATGAGGCCGTGGTTCATACCCTAAACCCTAAACCCTAAACCCTAAGTCCAGAGGTTCATAGAAGTTCTGAGTTTAAGAGGTCTCTACTCCCGCCCCTGCGTGCAAACGCCTAACATGTTCACAGAAATTAGAGCTCTCAGCCACATGGGGGTTTCCCAAAATTAGGGGTACCTTTTTAGGGGTCCCAATATTAAGGATTTTAGTATTTTGGGGTCTATATTGGGGTCCCCTTATTTTGGGAAAGTACCACATCCCAAATCTGGGTTAGCAAGGGCTCCACCCTGAACCCTACATAAGCTTGTGTCTAAACTATTAATTAGTATCCTCCTTAATAGCCCCTATACCATTTCTCTATAATATAGCACCCTATATAGTAATAACCCCTATACAATTCCCGTATAACATAATACCTTGTGTAGCCCCCCTTTAAGGAGTTTAGACCCTACAGTTGATTCCCCATTATACCCTAGTTTTCGGAAGCCCCCAAATAAGCCTTGGAGCAGATCAGATTCACCAGCTTTGCGGGTTCCGGAGCTTCCGATGCTGTTGAGTATACTTGCGCTGGGCCCCAATGTTAAATGTGCTGCAGTCTAAACTCCCTCAAGGGGTTATATAGGGGATTATATTCGAGGTTATTCAGGGGGATACTAGGAGTTTAGACTATAGCTCAAATATTCCCCAAAAGAGGCCTGATACCAGAAAAACATATTCACCACCAGGTGTAGGCGTGTTTAATAGTAGTATGAACTGACAATTTCGTTTGCCGCGAACATGCTGCGACTCATCTGCCGTAGCAATCCAAGCTCCAAGCTTCTACAGGGCTTTTTCTGCGCTTGGATACACCCTTTTCACGCGTGGCGTCCCCTCTTTGCCCCGTGGCTGCATGTCAGTTCAAGCTAGTTTGTATGGCTACTCGTACCAGGCCTGGAGAATGAGTGCAAATAAGTTCGGTATCCGTTGAGGATTTCTAGTTCAGTTGCCATCAGGGAAATCCTGGATTAACCCTACACGCTAAACCTTCAACCCTAAACCCTAACCTAAACCCTACATCCTAAACCCTAAGCCCTCAACCAACTGCTTGGTCTTAATCATCCTGTAAAAAGTCCTTCAGACTTCAGGGTTTAGGGTTTAGGGTATATTTAACCCTTAACCTCAAGCCCTAGTCTCGTTCAAGGAACCCAACATGACACCCAGGACCATGCTAATCTTCCAGATTGGTACCAACAACTGGCAGCGACAAGGGGCGCCTTGGCTGATTTAGGTTTTAGGGTTTAGATAGTTTTCAGTAGAGAGGGAGACATCGTAGGAGTGTATGTAGGGTTTTTGAGGAACATCGGTGAGGGTTTCTGGTGTCCTTTGGCCGACCCTAAACCCTAATCCCTAAACCCGAAACTCGAAACCCTAAACTCGAAACCCTAAACCTTAAACCCTAAACTTTAAACCCTAGGCCAAAGATAGCAATCCAATCTGAGAGTCGAGGGCTCAGGGCGTACGTGGGAGCAATCCTGCGCAAGAACGGTGTTAGGCGTATCTATACAGGGTTTAGGGGATAATAGAGAATCACATGAAAACGAAAACGGAAAGTTAAACAGAAACTACTAGTGAATATGGGTTGTCGTGACCCACCCTCTATACCCTTAAGTATCCTTGACTAGCCTGAAATTACCCTTACATAAGCTTAAGTAACCGTACTTATTAAGGGGAAGCATTGGGTGGACAGAGGGGTGGGCTGAGTAAGATTTCCGGAAGTCGTGAGTCATCGTGTTTGGAAAATCTGGCACTACATTGTCTAAATTGAGCGCAGAAGATTTTGGAGTAATTCATGGACCTCTGGAAGATCCTTCTTTGGGGTTATATAGGGGTTATATGGGGATAATGGAATACAAATGGAAACTACTATTTAGGGTTTAGGATTTAGGGCGTGTAGGGGTAAAGTTGGTGCAAGAAGCCAAGCACCGGCCTTGCGCTCGGCGAGTGCGCCACAGAAATCAGAAAGCATTGGAAAAGGTCCTTCGTCAGGGTATGTCTACCTCAACCCTAAACCTTAACCCCTTCTCCCTAAACCGTGAAAACTAGGCCCAGAAACCTAAACCCACTCCAAAAGCACACACCGAGAAACCCCAAAATCTTTAAACTCTTCCTCCAAACCCTAAACCCTAAATAGTAGTTTCCATGTCATTTTCCATTATCCCTATATAACCCCTATACAACCCCTATATAACCCTATAGAACACTTATATAAGCCCTATACAACCCCTATATAACCCTTATATAACCCCTATATAACCTCTATATAACCCCTATATCACCCTTACTGAGCTCCAGGAGTTTGCTCCCGGCAGTGGCATCCTGCACGCATCTTTCCATGATAGCATGCGCCCTGGCTTATGTGAGCTATGTCTGAACTCCTTAAGAGGGGCTATATAGGGGATTATACAGGATTCAGGGTTTAGAGTCTAAACTCCGTAAGAGCGGGATTCTACGAGGAACTACTATAGGGGTTATTAAATACTAGCAGTTTAGAATATAGCTCTTCTGTGTGTGCTTGCTGCAAAGCTGATTTGTCAGAATTCTTGGTTGACTGTGGCTTTTTGAATTGACATCTGAATCTGTGTCAACCGATGCTGTCCTTCTAGTTGTGGTATGTGGTAGTTTCCCAAAATAGGGGGACCCCAACATAGACCCCAATATATCCAAGTGACGATTATAGGGACCCACCCCCCCAAAAAGTTACCCCTTATTTTGGGACGCCCTAAACCCTTAATCCCTAAACTCTAAACCCTATATCCCCTTTTAGAACCCCTACATCCCCTTGTAGGGTAAAACACCATTGCCATGTGAATGTTTAGATCCTTACCTTCTTGGGATCCCTGGCTGGCATATTTTGGTTGAGTCCTCGTGGCACACTTCTAAGGTTTAGGGCTTAGGGTTAAGGCTTTGGGGTGCAATCCCACCCCAAACAATTTACCCAGAACTCTTGAGAAGTGGTGGCATGTGGCCCTTATGGACTGTAAACTTCTGGGATCATGAAAGGTAAGCTCACGTTTGTGGGGGAACCTTGTGCAGCACTGGCCTCAGTCCTGTACCTAAACCCTAAACCCTAAACCTACGTCTTGCATGCCGAATACGCTACGCTTGTGGCCAGGGTACGGGAACCCAAAGTCATAACAAAGTAAGCCTAAACCCTACGCCTAAACAGGGTTTAGGGTTTAGGAGATGCAAGCATGCAAGCTTAAGCCCATGAAGGCACCCAGTCATTGAATCCGGGGGCTTAGAACGTTGGTTGAAAGTTGAAAGTAGCAGTACCTGGGGTCATTCTGTAGCTTATATGAGGGTTGCCCCTCTGACCCTGAGCCCTGAACCTTCACCCCTACATGATGTAGTACTTTACTTTCCCCCTAGTCCCTAAACCCTCAAGCCCAAGATAGATGTAAATTGTATAGGGCACCGTAAACCCAAAGCCAAAGAAGAAATCGGCCAAAGCCCAGTCAAAACTCCGGACGCGAATCCTACGAAATTTCTATAACTCCCTAAACCCTAAAACCCTAAACCTGTTTTCCATTCCTCTGCTGTCGATCCCATTCCCCTAACCCGGCAAGTAAGTAGGCAGGAGCTGGCCGCGCGCCGAAAGCCCAACCTGCCAAGCCCTGAACGAGGGTCTAGAGTTTAGGGTTTAGGGTTTAGGGTTGTGCGTTTTCGGTTGAATAGTGCCCATCTCAATAACAGTTGGAGATTGTTTAGATATGTTCGTATTGGGAATTGTCGTTATGTAAAGCCCTCAGCGAATCTTTCGCTTATACTTATACTTATACTTATGCCCCTACATCCTCAGCCCTAGACTGCTGCTGGTTGAGGGCAGTACCCCAGGTTTAGGGTTTAGAGTTTCAGGGTCCTCGAGAGGATGAGAAAGTGGGGCAAATGAATCCAACTCTTTCTTTTTTAACGGTCCTTATCGTAAGGATAGCTGCTTGAAAGGAATAGGATAAGGGGATTCCAAATTTTGAAAACCCTGACTTAGGGCCAGTTCCGTATTTTGACTCAATCCAAATCCCTAACTTAAGCGGTAGATCCGCCCAGTTCCAAACCCTAAGCGTCCTAACCCAAAACCTGAACCGCTAAGCCCTAAGCCTCATGATCCCAAACCTTCAGCTTGGGCCCTAAGCCCTCAACCCTGAAACTTAAACCTTAAACTCTGAAACTTAAGCCCTGAACCTTAAACCTTAAACCCTGAAACTTAAATCCTGAACCTTAAACTCTAAACCCTGAAACTTAAGCCCTAGCGCCTAAGCCTTCATGATCTGAGGAATGCCATGGAGGGCGTGAAGAGCTATTCCATCTATCCTAGCTCCTCGGCCTTTGAGAGCAGTTTAGGGTTTAGGGCTTAGGGTTTGGGGTTTAGGGTTTGGGGGTTGGGGTTCAGGGCTTAGGGCTTAGGGTTTAGGGTTTGGGGTTCAGGGTGCAGGGTTTAGGGTTCAGGGTTCAGGGTGCAGGGTTTAGGGCTCAGGGTTTTCAACAATAAAAGGAAAATGGGGGTCTGCAAGACTCACACTCGAAATAGTGGAGAATGAAAAGGAAAGGGAAATGGACAAACTAAATGGCATCTGAGATTATATAGTGGCCTATGGGAGGGAGGTATGGACTACTTTCAGCATTTGGGTTACCATTCGGATTACCAAAGACCATCAAAGGTGGACTTAGGGGCCCTTTGGTAGTTTAGCGCGTCACCGACTGGTTTTGAAAAGGACCCATGTCTATCAACTACATGAGGAAATGGTGCTTGTAGTTTATATGATAGTCAGAGAGTCCTCATTTTAGAATGTTGGTTCTAGTTTGGGCAGGTGTATGAATGCCGGATTCGTGACTACCCCAATAGGAATTTAGCATTCATAGCACTGGATTCTGGATTGTGGCTTCAGGGCTGAAGGATATGGCATTGCGGAAATTTCAGCTTATCTTGAACATTGTCTTTACACATTGGCTTTCTCACAAATATGGTCTCTATTGGAAGTGTCGGTAAGACGTGGACCCGAAGTTCCAACTTTGACAAAGACAAATTCGTAGATTTGAGGTGTATTTTGGAAGCTACGCCACTGGGGCTGTGTGAAAGTTAGCTTTGCAGGCAATGTCATGGTGTTTTCAGTTTGCACCTTGTAGTGGTACTAGGGGTTAGGCTCTCACCCATGAGTAGTTGAGGCTTTAGGATTGTAGGCCTTGGGGCAGAATAGGAATATGTAGGGGCCCTAATATAATTTCCACTGCCCTGGTAGTGACCGCTCGAAGGTGGGGGCCCCACCTAACTGGTACTATGGTCAGCTAGTTCCTTGGGAGCAAGTGGGTTGCTGTTCAAGAGCTTAAGTTTCCATACTATGGGTATATAGTTAATAATAGGGGTTCCTTACTATATTCCCCTAAACCCTAAACCCTAAACCCTCTACACCCTGATCATTGTAAATCTAAGTTCCTCAATAGCAACCCAGACAATTTTGCCTGACTAGGGCCAGACGGCAGGATCTGAAGATTAGGATTTAGGGTTTTGGGTTTAGGGTTTAGGATTTAGGGTTTTGGGGGTTTAGTGTTTAGGGTTTAAGTTGTAGGGTTTATAGTCCCCCTTAAGTAGATAGAATATGGGGTATATGGGGATCTTAGCACAACATACCCCAAGCCATATTCTATCTACTGAAGGGGGACTATAGGGTAGGGTCATGCTACCCGTAATCAGATTTTGGTACATGCCTCTGGGTCCTCTTGGAATGGTTGAGGATATTTCACTGATCTCCTGCTATGGCAGGTCTCCGTCAGACGCACCAGGGTTTAGGGTTTAGGCTTCAGGCTCAGCAATACATTTCCTCTCTTGCCCCTGATGATGGCCCCTCACTGCCTCTGTTACTCTGTTCATTCTTGCGCTTGCGTTGTTGTGTTTTTTGTGTTGCTTGTGATTGCGTCAGAAATCTTGATGTCGCTTGACAGTTTAAAATATGGTTATGAGGGGGGTCCGAGGTCGGCATGTCAAGGAGCTCAGGGTTTTTTCGGCATGCAATGCAATAGGCGCTTAAGGCGAATAAGGGTACAGGGTATAGTATATAGGGTGTAGGATGCATGATTTCGCTGGTGCAAAAGTTTAAGCTGCGGGTTGGCAGTTGGATGATTGAATAAGGCATCGCTGTGCTTCAGAGTTCAGCACATGCTAAGCAAGCTCAGCTGTGCCGCTCAGATGAGCGAGTAGCCAGACATGTAGACCGGACCCCCTCCCCGTAGTGGCAATTTTAATAGGGATCCCATGGGATCCTAATATCAAGGCCCTTAAAGGGAGAGGGTTTTTAAATCATGGTCTACATTAAACAAATTGGCAGATTCAGTGCGATGAGGGTTGTGGTCTTGAGGGTGTAGGAGTAGCCGTAGTCCCAGCAGTAGGAGACTTATGAAAAGGAGTAAGAAGTGGTTAGACATCAAAGCAGCGCATGAACACGAATTACGCGAGCTCCCAATCTAGTAGATTCCATAAAGTGGGGGAACCCAATATAGGCCCAATGTACAATCCGTCATTATGCGGACCCCCAAAAAGGTAGCCTTCATCTCTTGGGAAGCCCTGATCACTAAACTTGAGCCCTAATCCCTAAAAACCTTAAACCTTAAACCCTAAACCCTAAACCTTAAACCCTAAACCCTAAAACCAAAAACTATCACAAGGCAAGAAGCAGACGAATCCGGATGACGACCCCACCTACAGAGTCTTCAAGTTGCTACGCCTCAACTGGATCAATGTTAGGGATCCTTTATACTTTTTGGGGTTTAGGGTTTAGGGATCCTTTATACTTTTTGGGGTATGGGATTCCTTACATTCATGTACAAAGGATCCCTTTTTCTTCCTAAGGTAATGTAGGCTAGTCAACATGCGGATAGTTCAGGGTTTGAGCGTTGACTTTGACAGTCTCATGTTTCCATCATGAGTGCTGCGTGCCAGAGCGTCTGCACCCGCTGCGAGACTTCGAGATAGTCACGATATGTTGGTGTTGGTTTTTAGGCTTGGGGCAGGTTTAAGGAATCGTGCAAGATTTGGTCTTGGTGGTTTGACTGCAGCGTTGGGGATCTGGAATTGCAGGCGAGTTTCATGTAGCCCGAAGTACGTAAAAACTGCAATCTAAACTGAGCAATCCAACTCTCAAATATCCCTAAATTGTCAAAAGGGGTTTTCACTTGTGAGGTTGCGGTTGTGGGTGTTAGGGGTCTGTTGTTAGGCTGGTCTGTTAACCGTCCAGCCCCCAAAAGCGAGGGCCCCCCCCAAATCTACCGAAATCATTGTGGCCCCAGAGAAGCCATCGAAGAAGATGGTCGAATTTTGAGCCAACCTGTGCCATATGCAATGGAGCTTCTAGGCTTCCGCATGTAAAACACTCAGACAAACGGGGGGGCTATTGGTGAGGGTTCTCGGCAAGTTTTGACGACCCCACGCGACTTCACCCCAAATGGTGGTTCATGTAGACATTAAAACAACTGGCCAGTGGTTTTGTCCCTTTACACTCAACTGGGATCTCAAAAGGAGATCGATGCGGACTGCTCCCTTTTACTCGCCAGGCTCGAACACGACATTCCCATCTGCGAGTCCGTCAGCCCAAATTCGCCGCTCGGGCTGACAGAGTTTGTTGTCTTGTTTGTTGCACGGCAGGGGTTTGCAAAAGACACATCACATATAGCCCCAGTTGGGGGGTATCATCCTTCGGGCATGTTCTATAACCCCTATATAACCCCCTAATATTACAGTCGCTTCCATTTTATTTTCCATTATCCCAATATAACCCCACATATAGGGGTTTGCAAAAGGCTTGGGCATGTTCTGCGACCTGTTTCGGCTTCAGAGCCGCTAAGCCAAGTAGATAGAATATAGGGGTTATATGAGCTGTAGTCTAAACTCCTTAAGGGGGGGTATATATAGGGGATTATATATGGGACTACTTTAGGGTCTATTAAGGGGGATACTAGGAGTTTAGACTATGGCTCATATGGGGGTTTCCCAAAATTAGGGGTACCATATTATGTGGCCCCCATAATAAGGACTGTAGTATTTTGGGGTCTATATTGGGGTCCCCCCATTTTGGGAAAGTACCATATTGGGAGGATGGAAAAGAAGATGGAAACTACTTATCAGGGTTTAGGGTATAGTCTCCCGTAAGTAGATAGAGCATGGGGTATATGCGGATCTTATTATAATATACCCAGGGAAGCTCTTGACTATCTTGACGACATGAGAGAGGCCATGGAGGATGTGAAGCCCGATAGGCGCACAGACCCGACGGCGTATAATGCCTTCTCCAGAACATCAGACAGGCGACTGACAGCCTGAGGATTGCCAAGCAGCAAATCGAAGGCTTAATTGTCAACATCCTTAACGCATGTGGGTTGAACCTCTGCCCGGCGTATTTGTTCTGGCCGGAGCCGGGGATAGCAAAAATATTTGGATATGTGTTGCAAGGGGTGAGAGCGGCGGTGAACAGCAACAGCAACACGGACCTTGAGGGCAAGATCGCTGCGTTCAAAGGTCAGGTCAACAACCAGATGCAAGTTCTGTCCGTCATGAAACCTGACCTAGAGGTGCTTGACAGGACTGAGATGAAGAAGCTGTCAAAACAGGCAAGCGAGAAGCTGCTGGCGATCATCAAGCATGACCATGAGGTGTTCTCAGACCTTTCCAACAACATTGCAACTCAGGTGGAGCGATTCGAAGAGCTCGCACAGCCACAGCAAGTGATTAAACTGGGTTGCAGGTAAGGAATTGATTTTAAGTTACCATATTGGAGAAGCTCTATTATATGTTATATATATATATCCATTATGGTAACTTAATTTAAGTTCCCCCTAAACCCTATACCCCTTAACCCCAAACCCCCCTAAGCCCTAAACCCTAAACCCTATGCGATCCCTACATAAGTCCCTTAACAGCAACCTAGTAAATCGTGAGCTGCTAGCACTCTTTGAGGAGTTTTGCCAGATCCTGCCTTTTGATTCCCAGGCCGACAGCTGTTCCCTGTGGTCATGTGAGCCATAGTCTAAACGCCCTTCAAAGGGGGGGGGCTATATATGAGGTTATATAGCTTAGGGCTTAGGGTTTAGGATAGGGGGTTATATAGGATAATATGGGGGATTATAGGTTTAGGGTTTAGGGTCTAAACTCCTTAAAGGGGGGCTATATGGGGGAGTATTCTAGGGGTCATTAAACTATAGCTCAGGTGTCGTCTGGTACTGGCACTTCATTGTGCGACAGGAAGCAAGGCCGCTGAAGACTGTGCTGTTCCAAGTCATGCAGCCAAGGAAATACTGGGGCCCAGCATCCAGAAGACCCTAAACCCTAAACCCTGAACCCAAAATCCTTTTCCCGTATGTTTATTGGACAGATCATGTTGAGAAGCTGACCAAACTTACTGGTGGTTACTAGGGAGCGGAGGAACGGCCATGAGAGGAGTCCCAGCGTCATCCTCCAAACAGTCCCTGTACTTCGTTCCTTGCTTAGTCACAAAAACTGAGGTCCTACAGATGGCATTCTATGTCAGAGGACTGGGGTGGCAAAGGAGGGCTTAAAGCCTGATCCCTACAAAAATGGGGGGGGGCGCCAAGGCCTAGGATGGTTGGCCTCCCAGACCGTTTTGAGCGGAATCTGGCCTCACACGGGCTAGGGTTTAAGGGTCTAGGGAGTTTGGGGTCGGAATCCATGCAGCAGGACTTCCACAGGATTTACCACGTGTCACCAAGTTATGGGCCTCCCTTACGTGCATACCTTTTTTTCTTTGTTGAAAGGTTCCTCGCCCCTAAAGTTCTTTCCATAGGATGTCTCCCTGACACTTTGATTCAATCTGGGTGCCCAGTTTGCTCGCATGCTTGAATCATCCTTGTAAGTTCTGAAGTACTTCGGTACGCGCCTCCGACAAGCCCAGTACTTGGGATAGCCTTGGAGCGACAGGAGCAATACGACGCCTATCTCAAGCGCCTTGAGAATGAGATCTGTGCCTTTATGGACGAGGTGGTCTTCTCGGATCAGTCAGGGTGGCGTTTGGTAATCGTCTCGGTTACTGGCGAAGCAGGTGCATGTTGGGAGCACAGTGACTAAGTGGCTGCAAGGAGGAGTCATGACATAGGTGTGCCTTCAACAGTTAGAAGGCTTTTGTTGGGTTGCTGTTAAGCAGCTTACTTCAAATTCACTATATTGGGGAAACCCTATTAATTACTATATATACCCATCATGGTAACTTGATTTGTGACGTGTAAGATCTCATGCGACTTTTACGTCCCCCCCCCCCAGGAACTACCACTCAAGGTTTAGGGTTTAGTGGCAGAGCACAGTGCAAGCCTCATTGTTCCATGGGGCCTTTGGGAAGGTGTTGTGGTAAGCACTGCGTTCAGGAATACTAACGTGCAACTATGGTGCAAATCCTTAACATCTGCAAGGTCTAGGTATTGGGGTCGAAGCCCGAACCCTGTAAACCTGAACCCTAACCCGAATTCCCATCCAAAGGTTGAGGCAAAGGAGGGCAAGGAATTCGACTACCTCATCTCTCACCACGCCGCTGTCTCAGCTTTAGGGTGAAAGTGCTGTGGCCCATGCGGCAACGACAGGAGGTGAACTCCTCAGCGGGGACCTTACGTATATAAGTTATATATATATATGTATACTCATATGTAGACACCTCTCTATAAATCCCCATATCCCTGCATGGCTCTCATATACACTCCCCCCATAGGAAACTCCCCTCCCAGAATTGCCCTTACATACATCCCAATTACCCCTTAACCCTAAGCCCTGAAAACACTAAACTCTAAAACTCTAAAACACTAAAACCTTAAACCCTAAAGCCCTAAAAACCCAAACCCTAAAACCTCAAAACCCTAAACTAGGGAGTTGATGTTTTTGCCCTGTGGTAACCTATCTTGGGCTAGTTTTAATTGAGGAACTGAAATTCAGTTACCATGATATTGGGTGTGGGTTTCAGGGTTTAGGGTTGACCAGAATATGGGCGTATAGTGAATAGCAGGCTTTCCTTATTATAGCAACTCAACTTATGTTCCTTCACAGCAGCCCGGTTTCAACAACGCGCGCAGTCCTTGAAGATCGCTACATAGCACTGGATGTTTCTCCTTCCATGACATCTAAGGCAAAGTCCTTGGAGGGTCAGAGGGACGTTGCAAGTATACTATTAAGCTTTATATTAGGCTTGTTAAGGGACCCTTAATAGCAGACGTAGGGGTCCCTCTTGCAGTTAAGTACAGTCTCGAATATGGTTCTGAACAAGGAGCCCATGTCCATTAAATTCTGTAGGGAATATTGACTGTACCCGTAGCTCACATAATAGCCGCTCCCCGTGATCCCTCAACGCCAAGGCTTTCACCAACGCCATGACGGCGGCGCAGATTGTCGAGAGGCGGCACAAGGCCGGGTGGGTTGCGCAGGGATGTAGGGGTAGTATAGGGATTATACAGGGATAATGGAAAAGAAAATGGAAACTACTCTTTAGGGTTTAGGGGTTGGGTTTCGGGCCATAGGCCGCCCCATTTTGTTTTGGTACAAATGTATACCCAAAAGCAATGTCCCACGGTAGTCTTTCGTGAAGAGTTCTTTACGCTGGATGGACGAAATCTTGCATGAACCTATGTAGCCCCAATATTGGTAATTTGATTACAGTACCCTAAATCCTACACCCTAAGCCTTAATTCCTAAACCCTAAACCCTAGATCCCTAACCTTGAGTTCTAAGCTCTAAACCCTCTTCAGTGGGGGTGGGTTTGAAGACAGTTTTATGAACGTGTCTTGCCTCTAAACCCTCAATGAGCTACTGTCAGCATTACGGGTACCAAGGGAGCATTAAGGGTGGACATCAATCAATCAATTTGGTAGTTTAGCATGGTCCTAACACATCCAACCCTAAACCCTAAACCGTACTAGGAACCCGAGTCCATCAATTATCTGGGAAACATTGACTGCAGCTCATAGAATCCTCATTATACAGTTAATAATTTCAGTTTTATTGGGCCGCCCAATGCATACTACATTTTTCAATGACCTTAACTACCTCATACCTTGGGAATTATGGTACTAGAGCATACTGAGGTCATGCCGGAATTTTTAGTATTAACAGTAGCAAGTCCTAACCCTAAGCCTTAAACTTTTAATCCTAAGCCTCAAACTCTTTTCAGGGTTCCCTCCGGGCCTCAAGGGTCCTAGGCTTCTGACTGCTCACCGCCCGGCAGGCCGTTTTATCAGGCCTGAAGCAAGGGTTGAGGGTCTAGGGTCTAGTATTTCATGTGTGACATTACTACAACTTTCACTTTGCATGTTTTGGGGGTTCCTCTATTTCATATGAAGGGAGCCACAGGTTACACCTTTATTGGGGGGTTAAAGACCAACCAAGTATTAAGCTACCGTGCTGGAGAATCAACTGGAAGAGTTGAAAGGAGCAGGACATGGAAGCTGAAGTTATGCAGGGATTTAATTAACCCCCTACACCCTACACCTCCAACCCTAAACCCCTAAACCTCTAAACCCCTAAACCCCTAAACCCTAAACCCTAAACCCTAAACCCTGAGCCTAACACGAACCAGGCCGACTTGGGGGCCCTACCCTAGGGTTTACTGGGTTGCTGTTAAGGAACTTAAATTAAGTTACTATAGGGTTTAGGGTTTAGGGGATTATCCCCCTATAATGGAGAATCAAATGGACAAGAAAATGGAAAATGAAATG